GAGAGAGAAACAGAAACAGAAACAGAGAAGGATGAAAATAAAGGAAAAAAAACAAGTAAAACAAACGAAAGAGCCAAGCCTGACTGGCATTCGATCAGCGAGAGGAGACATCTCACCTCGACTTATCGATAGACTTAAAAGAAAGAAAGAAAAAAGCTTTGATTGTAATCCTCCTTCAATTATCCTCTCTCTCTCTCTCTCTCAATATTTCTGTTTCTCCCTCTATCTCTCTCCTCTCTCTTTCATTTCTCTCTTGTATCTCCCTCCCTCTGCTCTCATGTGTCCCTACCTCTCCCCCCACTCATTCAAATTCCCTCCCCTCCCTCTCCTCTCCCTCCCTCCTTTCTCCTTCTCTGCTCCCCCTCCCTCCCTCTCCTTCTCCCTCCCACTCCTTCCCCTTCTCTCCCTCCCTTCCTCCCTCGGCCTTCCTTCCTCCCCCGCCCTCTCCCTCCCTTCCTCCCTCCCCTCACCACTCTTCCCCTTCCCTCCCCTCTCTCTCCTCCTTCCTCCCTCCCCCTCCCTCTCCCTCCCTCTCCCTCCTCCCTCTCTCCCTCCCTCCCCCTCCCTCTCCCTCCCCCCTCTCCTCCTCCTCCCTCCCTCTCCCTCTGCCCTCCCCCTCCCTCTCCGTCCCTCTCCTCCCCCTCCTCCTCCGTCCTCTCCTCCCCCTCCCTTCTCCCTCCCCCTCCCTCTCCGGTACCCTCTCCCCTCCCCCTCCCTCTCCCTCCCTCCTTCCCCTTCTCTCCCTCCCTCGCTCCCCTCCTTTCCTCCCTCCCCCTCCTCTCCTCCCCTCGCCTCCCCCTCCCTCGTCCCTCCCTCCTTCCCCTTACCTCCTCCCTCTCTCCCTCCTGTCCCTTCCTCCCTCCCCCTCCCTCTCCCTCCCTCTCCCTCCATCCCTCTCTCCCTCCCTCCCCCTCCTCTCCCTCCCCCTCCCTCTCCCTCCCTCCCCCTCTCATTCTCCCTCCCCCTCCCCCCTCCCCTCCGCTCCCTCCCCCTCCCTCTCCCTCCGCTCCCCGTCGGAACGGAGTTGAAAACCAAGAATCAGAAGTTCTCTTTGCCGTCGGAGTAATCTTTTTGTCTCTCCGTCGGGCGTCGGGAAAGGACTTGTCTCGTTTAACTGCAAGTCGTGATTTTTTTTTGTCCTTTTTTTTTTCGTTTTGTTGTTTAGTTACGTGACTTTTTATCTTCGGGTGATTTTTTTTTTGTTGTTGTTGTTGTTGTTCTTGTTCCTTTCTCTCTCTCTGTCTCTCTCTATCTCTCTGTCTCTCTGTTCTCTCTCTCTCTGTCCTCTCTGCTTCTTTCGTCTCTCTTCTCTCCTCTCTCTCTCATCTCTCCTCATCTCTCTCTCTCTCATCTCTATCTTCTATCTATCTATTCTATCTATCTATCTATCTTTCTTTATCTCTCTCTCTCTCTCTCTCTCTCTCTCTCTTCCTCTCGTACTTACGATCATAAGTGATCGTAATGCGGATCAAAAGAAAGACGGAATCCGGTACAGGGAATCCGATTCTAATTCAAAGGAA